GGGGGGGCTGGAAGGAGGTGTTGGCCGTTGGAGGCTGGAAGGAGGTGTAACGTGGAAGCACAAAGGGAAATCACAAGGAACTACCTAAAAATAGACATTTTAAACCCTTATATGGAAGGTCTTTGGAGTGGTGTCTTTTTCTCTATATTTAGGAACCGTAGCAGTCTGACAGAAAGCGTCTCTTTAGTTTGAAAATGGCTTGGGGTTGATAAAGCAGTTTCTAGTATTCCTAACCACTCAAAGTGCTTTTTACACAAGCCACATTCTCCCATTTACAAACACACACACTCTTAAAGCACTTTTATTCTACTGTATTCAAGTTAAGCACTTTATCTAGCACACACACATGCACGCACACTGATAGATGCATCAGAGCAATTAAGATTCAGCTTCTTGCTCAAGGGCATTTCCACATGCAGACCAGAGACACTGAGGATCAAACTGCTGTCCATATTCACAAGTTCCTGTATATGAAGACAAAATCCAAGGAAAATGGTACACTAAATTCTTTACAGACCATTTTTTAATCTTACTTCAAGACATAAGCATGCTTACTACTAATTATTCAATGCACACTTATAAATAAATGCACACAATTTTAAACAGGTCAGTGCAGTCTCTCTCACAGCTTGGTTTGAGGCCCCTTTTTTTCTAAATGTCAGTTTAGAAAAAAGGCAGTAGGACAGTGCATGTTCCCCAAGTATCAGCTCTCATATGTAGGTTGCTGTGAACTTGGATAATTGCTTATTTGGTTTGGTGAATCCAAAATGATGATAGGTTGCCCCATCATAAAAATGAGAGAGAAAAAACCCCAGAAGAACTAAAATCTGAGAGCAAATACAGCACAACATAGTTTGATCTATCGTATCAGTACTTCTAACCTCATTGTTTTCCCATTTCCCCTCTTCCTCCATTTTTCTTCGGTTTCTCAAGGACAAATTAGATCAGAGTCGAACAAGTAGAAAAAGGTGAAAACACTGCTGTTTTGACAGTGAGTGAATGTGTGCTGTGTGTGAGGGTACAGTGTGTGTGTCCGTTTGTGGGAGCTGGAGAGAGACCAACGGGACAGATCTGGGACACTCAGCCACCAGCAGCAAAGCAGCAGAAAACTAAAACCAGGGCAGCCACTGATCCACTGAGAAACATTTCCATATGTGACAGGATGTTCGCCCTTAATTAAGCCCTCAGATCTTCTCCATATTCTATCATAATCATTCATATTCATTTACTCCGGAGTTGTGGCTGTGGACACAATCGTTTCCTTCGGGGCCACACTTTGAGCTGTTATGTGAAAAATCAGAAGCACCTCAGTAACCACACTCAATAACACTGAGGAAAACATGGATGAGTGCTTGTTATGCCATGGGCAGCAACAACAGGAAACAAAGTAAAAAGGGGGAGCCAGTGTAATGCATTTTAAAACTACTGTGTTAAATCTCACAGCCCTGACTCATTTCCGTGTATTAGTCACAGCGATGGGTGTCACTGTATAAAGTTTTAACACTCACTATTGACTGTTGTTCTACCAGATTTATGCATGGTGAAAATAAATTTGAATTTAAATTATTTTATGACCTCTTTTCTTTTATTCTTCCTCCATTTGACAGCAAATATCTGAGAGCAAACATCAGAAAGGTCCAAGCAAACCCAGGTGCTCTGCACACACTACATCACTCTAGACCACTATCCCACTGTCATACCCCTGATTCAGTGGTTACACAATACAAGCAAACAGAGCCTCACTCAGCATATCACTATTTACAGTCAGCAGCACCACTATCTATGACCATGAACACAGAACAGCTGTTTTTCTTGAGCAGATGACTCACTCAAACAGCCAGAGTGCTGGGTCTCCTATAGTTATTGCACAGATGCTAAAGGGTAGCATTAAGCGTTCGTGTTGTGTTTGGCAGGCTGGAGGACATGTTGGTATGCTAACAGTGAGAAATGTGATGGATGGATGGGAAAGACTGGGATGGATGTTAAGTGTTCATATACTGGATTGAGTGGTAAATGATCATATGATAATAATGATTACGTGCTGTGTTATACTGACAATATAGCATCAGTGCTAGCATAAAAATCCTGAAACTGAGCCTACAAATGTCAATACAAGCATCTGCAATATCGTATTGCTGTTTTATTCCCATGAAATGACACCCAAACATAACCATTAATGCATAGTTGAAGCGTGTTAGTGTGGTGAAATCTGTAATTCCATGGCTTTCTAGGTCAGTGGTTACCTGAATGATATTTAAACACTGCAGATTTCACCACCATGCAAGAACAGCTGTGCATGGATGTCACAGTGATATGATACTATGATTATGATTATTATTAGCGCAGTCAGCATTAATCTCATTAAAATGAGGTTAATACGGTGGCCCTGAGAGGCCAAACGGACTTCAACTTCAGAAAACACTTGCAAAATGAAAAATGCTGCAAAAAGAAAAATGCTTCTTTTTGCAGCATTTTTCTTTTTGCAGCATATTTCTTTTTGCAAGTGTTTTCTGAAGTTGCAGTCCGTTTGGCCTCTCAGGGCCACCGTAGGTTAATGCCATAACTGCATTAACGCGGCAAATCTCTGCCCGTTAACAAGCTAACCATGCTAACGTGTTGATGCCGCGCAGCCCCACGCACGGGGCGATCACGTGTAACTCGCTAACGGAGATTTGCCACGTTAATGCAATTATGGCGTTAACCTGATTTTAATGAGATTTACGTTGACAGCGCTAATTATTATATTAACTGCTATATATCTTAGCTAATATTATTTTATCAGTGTGCTTAACACTTAAATGTGTAATAAACTGCAAAACAAGATTTGTTTTTAAACTTGAAATCTCCATCAAATTAAATTTTGGACACATAAAATATTCTGACAGGAATCATTAGAGTCTTATGTGCTAAAAGTTCAATTGCCTGTCTAGGAATAAAAAAATAATCCAAATGATGAATACTTTTTCCAACGCCCCTCTTCACAGCAGTCATTTTGACATGACAAAGTGGGACAGCACAGGTGTCTCTAATGATGTTAATGAAGGTTTTGTTCTATCTGCATGTAAGCCATAATCAATGTAATTAGTCACACCTGTGTTTAAGAACTAAAAGGTCCAGTCGACAGATGAACTACTGGAAACAATATGTTACTTGTACATGTGTTAAACTCATACTAATAGGGAGTCTGCACAGCCATCATTGTGCACAATTAAATTCAAACAGTGAACTTCCAGTATGCAAATCAAATTTTTGAGTGCAGATGTGCAGTAAATGAAACTATGTGGTCAAAGTTTCTGTGAGCCACTCGTAGAGGTGAAACACAAACAGCGTGAGTACATAAACAAAGTAATGTAACTTGCACACAAATGCATGACTCACCCTCCTCTGATGTAATCCAGGAAGGTGTGCTCTGACTCTACACTGAATGACAACAAGGATACCTGAGAGGGAAAAAAAGGCCCCAAAAGATTAACTCGTCCTTTTTAATTAAACAAATTTACCAATCTACACATTAACACTGACCTCTCAAAATGACCTATCCATGCAAAATGATTGCGTTGCCGAAGCAGCGCCTTAGAATTACAATCACTGAGCGTCAGTGTGCCTGTGGACTGATGGATGATCAGCTTGATGGATAGCTAGGCACAAATTTTAATTACAGAGTCACAGTATACGCTAAGAGCTGTAGCAAAGCCGCGGCTCATTTATGAACTTCTGTCACTATTCTTCAGGGAAAGGACACAGACACAAGTCTCTTTTATTTAGCTTTACAGACTTGAATAATCATCCCGTTTGAGGTCATGGGAATGTTTTCCTGTCTACTTAAATTCACTGTCTGGATCATAAGCTCAGGGAATGGGAATAGAAGAAAAACATTTAACAGAGTTCATGCAATCCACTTAGTGAAAACTTCCTGCTGAATACAAAAGAGAAGGCAGGCAGGGGTGTGCGTGCACAAGGAGATTTGCTCTTACAGTATCTCAGACTCACCGTCCCAGAGTTGATGTATCTCTTCTTCTTTATTTTCTTCTTGGCATTCACCACCTGGTATGAAGGCAGAATGGGAACGAAGGATAATGATAATGTAAACTTGCAGCACAATTCTTTTTATCCACCCTTGGGCAAGTAATAAAAACATCTTTGTCCTCCTACTCTATGTCTGTAAGGGTAATGGAGCATAGGGAGTGAATCCAATAACTGTAGCAGGTGAGAATGAGATACCATTGATCATGCCTTCCAGCTAAGTGCAGATAATTCAGAGGGATTTTTATAAGCATAAGCAGTCTACTGTAAATTTCACATGCATGCTGCCAGCTGTGGTGCTTATAACCACATACAGAGTGAGTGCAAGTGCACAGTTATGTGCAGTGGGGGTAGATGCATACAGCCAGGTCCAAGCTTTTGGATAGTGACACGATTTTTGTGCTTTTGCTTCTATGTACCACCACAGTGGAAGAAAGGAAATGAAGCTCAAAATATTGCTTCAAATTCAAATTTTCTGCGCAGTCCCTCCATTCCCATGCCATCAAAAGTAATTGTACAATTAACTGGTAAATTAAACTGATAAAAGGTATGCAGTTGATTCCAAAATTTGCATTTGGTAATTAGCCTGAGAAAACAAAGGCGAGCCATCAGAGAGAGCAGAAAATATAGGAGTGGCCAAGACAACAATCTGGCTAATTCTTAAAAGGAAGGAAAGCGCTGGTGAGTTCAAGCCTGGACGGCCATGAAAAATAACTTAAACTGAATGATCTCAGAATTCCTTTCACGACCTCTAGCCAAATCAAGAGCACCTCAACAGGGGTAGGCGTGTCAGAGCCTGCAATCACGACAAGTCTTCATTCATGTAACTACAAAGGGTTTAGCTCAAGCTGCAAACCACATGTGGCACTCAAGAACAGAAAGAGCAGATTACACTTTGCTAGGAAATGTCTTAGAAAATCTTGCCCAGCTCTGGAACAAGAAGTCTCTGGAGACAGATGAAACCAAAATTAACTAAGAGTGCCGAAAAGGAAAGAAGCAGCTTGTGATCTAAAGGAAAACACATCATCTGTCAAACATGGTGGAGGCGGTGTTTTAGCACGGGGATGCATGACTGCCAGTGGAAGTGGGTCACTAGTGTTTATTGATGATGTGACTGCTGATAAAAGCAGCAGAGACGACAGAGCTGCACTTTCTGCTCAGTTTCAGCCAAATGAAGAAAAACTGACAAGACAGCGCTTCACAGTGCACATGGACAATGACCCGAAACATGCAGTGAAAACAGCTTAAGAGCTTTTTGGCAAAGACATTAAATATTTTTAGATGACCTAGTCTTTCACCTGATTCCATCCCAAGTGAGCATGTTTTTCACTTACTGAACACAAAACTAGCCAAAAAGAAAAAAGGCAGAGCTCCCTTAATAAGCAGTGACTGAGCGAGGCTGACAGCATTTCAAGCGAGAAAACCTTGCACTTTTTGATATGCATAGGCTGTAGCCTTCGGTATGTTTATATAGCTGACATTTTGTATTAAATTACTTTGTCCAGCTACATATGCTGTGAAAATAGAGGGACTAATAAAAAAGTCTGTAATTCCTAAACAGGTGGCTTGCTTTTCTGGTTACCCGGTGTATGGTTAGAGGTTATACGCTGCACTTCAATTAGATATTGGCTGCTTCATTTCAAATCCTGTGTGGTGGTTTACAAGGGCATGAGTGCAACACTGTGCAAACACCTATAGACTTCACTAAAAACAAAAAATTGGGAAATACTTGAGTGATATCCAAGGCGAGCGGAGTGATTTACAGTCTTCAGTGCATTAAATAAAAGTTACATTTAAGCTTGCAGCCAAAAACTTGTATGCAACAGTGAGCAAAGTCAAATATCTGCACTCCTCATTCTAAAGGTCTGCACACAAACACAAAGCATGAGCCTGGAGGAAGCTGTGCAGGATAATAAAGTAAAAGGTATCCCATTCTACCCTCCTTTCGTCTCTCTTCTCTACTCTTCCTTTCTGGTTCTGTACTTTCTAAAAGCGCCCCCTGAACTCGTCTTCCAAAAATTATGCCTCACAGCGTTGTGACCATCACTCAGCCGCCAAAACTTCACATGACATCGCAAAGGAATCAGATTCAGTTACAGCGTCCTGTACTGACATTAGCCTGCTGTCGTCTAATGTTTACAAGCTTTCTGCACGTCACGTTGAATATACAAAAATATGCAAAGAGCTGAAAAATGTGGCATGTGACATACTGAATTTCTTTATTTCTCCATAATGAGAAGGTGGTGTTATGTCAGTTTTGTCCACATCACAAAAGTTTTTTAAGGTCTCTGACCTTACCTGCGTTTTATATATAGAAAGGTTTGGTGAAGGGTAATGGATGCACATCCTTATGCCGTGTCAGCAGTGTAAAAGGGCACCGTCTTTCCTAACCCAACTCATCAGCTTTTCCCTTACTCTCTACCTTTACTGGCCTTATTCTTTTCTTAGAGTGCTTCTATGACTGATTCAGAGGCTAATGTAATATGGCAACTGTTTTAATGAGCAGGGACCTATTCAGACTTTCTGAGTGCGATCCAAAGGAAGGAATAAGTAACATAGTTCTGTTGCATTTCCATTTGTATTCCCACCGCAGCAGCAGTCTTCTCCAGTCGATCTATGGCACCACTTAACCTCTGAGAGGCTTAATAGCGGGTAGGGTGAGGACAAACAGGGGAGGCTAGTTGTTAATCTTGAACAGCCACAACTTTGCTCAAACAAGTGAGACCTGTAGAACTTCCTGTCATGAAAGAAGACCTTGCTGAGTATAAAGGGCACGCTGATTTGTTCTCAGACCGAGGCAGGTTTCTCACACTAGCATGCACAAAGGAAGCTGAGGTTTCTTTTTGTGCCATCAGAATCGTTTTTTGGCACAGGTGCTTCCAAGGTTCATTCATTAATAATTCGCACATAGCTTTGGCCGGTCACATTCAGCTCGATGTGCTGAATTTCACTTGAAACTGCGTCTGCCATAGTGGCTTCAGAAAGTGATTTGCATTCTACTTGGAAGCAGCTTAAAGCAAACGAGCTCCCTACAGCAGTCAACATTTGCAGCTTTTACATAAAGGTCCGCTGCTCTGAAGGTGATGATGGTATTGGTCGATTTTATCTCCGCTCACCTCATACACATTCAGCTGGTTCTGACCCCGACACAGCTCTTTGAAACTTGTGGTGAATTCACCGATGAAATCATGGCTGGTGGAAAGGAGACAAAAAGCGTCATCACAGCCTTGACTGGTGGAAGATAAAAGCACATAACCATTAATGTGTACTGAAAAGAAAGTAACTATAATTTAGTAGTCAGTAAAGACAGTAAAATAGCGTTGTCTATTAGGGATGAAAAAAATTTTTTTGACATATTTCTCTTGTGCATGTGTGTGCACACGCTCCTCTGTGTATCAGTTACCTCCCATCTCTGTCCCAGTCATACACCTCCACCTTGATTGTCCTAGGAAGCACATCAAAGAGCAGAAAATGTGTTTGTTTCCTTGTGTGAACATATTAATGCCTTGCGTGAGCTACAAACGTAATATTCTTGAGGAGAAATGTTACAAAGAGCATTTTGAAAGTGACAAACCAAGTTACTTAAGCTCATTAATTGTTAGTGAAAGCTGAATTAAAGCCATCAAAGAGAGCATGCTCTGTGTTTTGCATGCAAAAGACACAAACATCTTTCTAGAGATCTAATGGTGACAACATTTGTTTTCTCTTTGAAGCTATACTGCGTGGCAGCCTGAGTCATGTTAGGTTTTCAAAATTTATTAGCTGATTATTAAGCGCCAGTCTCAGTAATTGCCAACGTTTAAGCAAGACTGACAATAATACAAATTCACAGAGCTTATTGGGTTTCTGTCTGCTTAATTTATGTATAAAAAATATGGTGCAGATTAATAAACTAGCATTAAATATTTAAATGAATTGTTTTTGTGTATCTCACAGAGTAAAGAGCTGGGCGACAACACCAACAGTTTAGGTAAAGCATTTTCTCCCCACATGCCTAAGACAGAAAAGTAACCTCTTGGGAAATAGCATATTTTGCAAGTTCCCAAAATAAGTCGGTAGGAGAAAAAAAACAAATGAGCAAGCCTGAGAGAATATAGGCAGAATGAGGAAGATGCCTCCTCTTTTCTTCTCAGACTGATGGAAACTAGACTAGTGGCTTGCCACCCCCATCTTCCCATCAGCTGCTGCTGTCAGTCACTTGTCAGAGGATCCAAGAGGCAGATAAGTATCGGAGGGCTACTCTGTTATCCTGACCTGAACTAATTGTGTTTGCACTATTTTTCCCAGCTAACAAATGTCCAAATTGTGTAACGCACAAAGAAAGGAGACTTCCTCTAATGGTCTGTGATGAACTCATCACTTGTTTCCCTCTAAACCAACCAGACATTCAGAGTCAGAGTTAGAAAACTTTGCAATCTTGACTAGTATGAAAAAAACAAATGATTCTTGACACTCAGGGCCACTTGTGACAGATGATTTGCCTGTGATGAGTCAGCATCATTATAATCAGCAGAGTTGGGGGCAGCTCGATCCTCGAATCAATTTCATTTTAGTTTCTGCAACCAGCGTTGTGTTGGAGTGGAAATGGGAGAGATTTCACTTTCTGATCGCTATCGAAGACAAATGATTGCAAGAGATTTATCAGATTCTCATGAGGGTGAAAAATGTGACTGCAGAGAGATAGTCAATACATCATTATTAATATATTGTAAATTTTGCTGTATATTTGCAGGAGAAAAGGGAACAAGAATGAAAGACGGTAGTGCAGAAAATACAGCACAGACCAGCCTGTCTGTGCATTTTACTGGAGTCCAAAAGAAAAGCCTGTGGGGGAGAAACCAGGCCATTTCTACTTATACAATTTAAAGAGAAATAAAAATGTCATGATTTGAAAAGTATTGGATGAAAAGACTGATAAATTGCAACAGCCGTGCAGCAGGTCTCCTGTATAGATCTCGGAAACTGTAGATATTTTAAAAGAAAAGCCAAGAGACCCTAAATGGCTGCAGATTTCTCTTGTCATCAAAATCCTCAAAGGGAATCAGGATACTTTCATGCTTCTGCTCCATCTGTCTGACCCAATTAGCTTCTCCGGGCAGGTGAACAGAGACAGGATTGAAAGCAGCGAACCTTCGCTGACACCCAGTGTAGCGGAGGCCATGGTTTGACATGTTCTTCTACACACTCGCGCGGCTGTCTGGGTCTAAACATTTTCCTGCTTCTGCACACAAACACACATAGAAGGGCTCCTGTGTTGTTCCAGCCACCTGTCAACATCTTTAGACCGACTCTCCCTCTCCTCTCGCTCTCTTTTTTCGCTCGTGTTATTTTATCTTCCTGCCAAAACTCTTCCTGCTCCTCGGGTATTCTGCAATGCCCTTCACTCTGAAAAGATTCAGATAAGCTAGAAGTTGCCACCAGAGAAACCAATCAGAAACCCTGCAATGCTCTGAAAGGCTCTCTGTGATTGTGGAGAAATCAATAAAGAGCCAGGCAAGGTGGCATGTAGTGCTAGTCAGCCTGTAATAATTGTCTATTTCAGCAGCGGATAGAATAACATTAGAAAATCAATTTGCTCTAAATCTGATAGCCCTGATCCACTTTGTAAGAGCTACACCACATATTAAAACTCTGCAGCGCTTTAATTTTTCCTTGAAAAACAAACTCTGAGTGTGTGGGAATATTTGTTTGTCTTCATGAGACTCACCTGTACATCATCAGTCAACCTACCTGTCATAGTCTCCATTGCAGAGCGCTCTGACAGGGATGGAGAAGGGCTCCCACACAGGGTTCAGTGTGTTCTTCACCACCTCGGTCTTGTGGCAGATAGTGAACCTGGAGATGCAGTTAAAACAAACATCTCTAAAATATAAACAAACACTTAAAAAAAAAATCAGTGATAAAATCTTCTCACATCTGAAGCAGAAAACTGCTTTGCCTTGAAACCATGTCTGCATGAATTCATCGGTATGCAGCTGAGTTCAAGGGGTCTCGATCTTATTTCTAATTTTCTCAACCCTGCTTCCCTTCCTCTTGGAGCTTAATGCCCTCCAGCCCGGCTTTGATACGCCAAAACAGAAGACTTACAGCATAGGTGTCAAACTCTGGCCCGCGGGCCAAATTTGGCCCGCAGCCTGATTACATTTGGCCTGCGAAGCCATACCAAATTACTATTAGAGCTGGCCTACTGGTATTATACAGCTAATATATATATTGTTTAGTATTAAGCTTTGCTTGTTCCATATTCAGTTTTTCAGCAAAACGTGTTAGAGTCCATAAGAAAAGATTCATTCTTATATCTGAAGGAATAAATATATTTCAATAAATATTAACGTTAGCCCGCGACTTTGTTCCAGTTTTGAATTTTGGCCCACTGTGTATTTGAGTTTGACACCCCTGACTTGCAGAGACGCAAATGCGAAAGACAAACTCACGTGCCATCCTCATTACTTCTGTAGAAGACCATGAAGGGGTCTGACTTTCCAAAGAAGTCCTTTTTATCCAGTTTGTTGGCACAAAATTGCATGGTGGCGTAATCCTACAGACAAAGGAGGAAGGCAGTCAGAGAAATGGAATGACGGAAAAGTACAGGACACTTTAAATCCATGCTACTGGCTGTGTTTGCCTCCCGATGTTTGTGTACACATGCTGTGTGCCAAGATATAAAAGCACTGAAGCACCAACTAAAAGCAAAGTGCTGACTGAATCTTAATAAGAGGACAGCAAATCCAAACAGTGGGCTCTAGTTTCAAAAACCTGCAAATGCATTCATTACCATTTCTTTATTATGCAACACCTGCATAACAATGTAGATGGAACACGGCAAATGAAAATACCTTGTGCTGTATAAAATAACAATAAGAGTAACCATACAGAGGCACATAAATGGATCCTAACACCCTGCACACAGAGAGGGGAGGGGCCTGTGTACAACAGCATGTGGGGGGTGTGAGTGCAGCTAATGATACATTAGAAAGGCTGGTATTATCATAATTATACTCATTTAGGCAGCATTTCAATGTGTACTGCCACATCAAAGACAAAGAGCATGCTCCATAATGTTCTTGATTCCAGTTTGGCTCCCTGTGGTCACTCTAGAGTACAATAATGAAGCTGCATAATGGGCACACTGGACAGGTAAATGTCCACATCAGAAGAAAAGCTCTGCAAAGTGTTCTCCATCAGCATCTCAATCATCACCTTCACCTGGATGATGTTCAAACCTTCTTAACAGCTTTGTACCCCCCAAACGTACCACATATGTAAATTGGGGGTCTTATTCTCACATCTTAGAGTCGGTTAAAGTTTTATGCCAGAAGACATTGAAGCTTTCAAGGAGCAAAAAGAGGAGCTGTCTTTACCCAGCTGGTCTTCAGGGCTTTTAGGTTTTGAAGTGCTGCTGTTAGATCTAAACCAGCATGGTGCAGAGCCTCTATTGATTGCTTTGACCCACATCAGTCGGACACGGTCTGCCACTGACCTGCCTCTCGCTAACCCCCAAAAACATCACTTTTTGCCTTGGACATAGCACTACCACGGAGCTACTACATAATTCAAAGTACAACAACTCCTGCAGTTTTCTCCTTAAGAGGGGGATATTATGCTTGTCCTCATTTTCTGCCAGTACAAAAGATGGCATAAAAGAAGAGGATGAAAGGTGGGCGTAGCCACGCGCGGGTTTCATGCCGCAGATAATCCAACATTTTAAAACCTGGTATGACCAAGATTTTCATAATAGACTTAATTTTCTATTCAGTATGATCTAAAATGATTGAGTGAGTGCATAAACTTAGCAGGAAAGTATTTACAGAGGCTACATCGGAGAGCTGTATGTTCATAGACTTCTATAGGACCAGAAGACTCTTTGCAGCCACAGCTATTTCTATTTAGTGGCCTTCAGATAGAATGACACTTCACTGGCGTCATATTTCCACACTATGTATTTTAACTGTATATGCAGGACTCCAACCTGCCTATTGTTCAAGGAGCTCACTAAAAAGAAGAGTGGACTAAATAAGAGTATTCAACAAGGTCCAATGTTAAATAAACAACACTTATTTTGAACTATTTGAAATAATACAGTTACTGTATTAGATTAGTTACTGTCCAAAAGAATGAAATTGTTGCGCTGGAACAATTTAAAGAATGAGCTAATCTGATTACACCACAGTTTGAATCCTTTCACTGTGGTGGAAATGTTGAAGCAGGTGAAGAGTAAAGCTATGATTAAAACAGTCAGCGCTGGCAGCTGAATGGGTTGCTATATATCCATTTTCATTTCCTACTGTCATTTTCAGTTATTACCTACCTTTCTATCCAGCCTGCAATATCTTTGCATTTTCTACCTGCAGTGTGTCAAGCTCTCCCTCTGTGGTTTTTTCACAAGAACGTTTAATTTTCCAAGGTGCTGTTTGGTGCATTAAAACTAACACATCATGTTGGGAAAGTTTGCTTAGGTCAGATATGAAAGCCCTTAAAAAATAGATCCGTAGTATAACTGTCCTGTTTAACCCTGACACAGCTTCTACAATTACACTATCATGGCAGCACAGTGCCCTAAGCCTTCATTAGGCATGGATAACACATACCCACATCGGAGCCTAGCAGTGTTCTCTCATTAAGCGAGGAAAAGGCAGAACATTCATTTCAGCCACTGAGGTTTAGGAGCAGCAGGGGAATAGTGACTTCAGTCTACATCCTCCTACCCGTTTCTCTGCTCTACTAAGATATCACCGCATGGGGTAAGTGGCAGAGCAACGCACACTGCCACTTACAGAGAGTGGGGTGGGTCTATTCAAAGAGATACAAAGCAATGCACACAGTGCCTGAATTCATGTTACACAAGCTTATGACATCCTTGGGATTGCAGACTGTAGTGAATCACAAAATGAATCATAAGCTTCGCGCATCACTCCATTCATCCGAGCATTCGTCTATTATGACTGTAAGCCTCAGGTGAAGGATTTTTTGTCAATGTAAGGATGAGCGTTATGTAAGCTCAAGAAGTGAAGAACGTTTGCTTGATAAATGAAAAATGTTAGTGTAATCAGGGTTTTAATGTTACCAGAGCTAGTTTAAATTCATTCAAGAGGTTTTGTGTTATTTTATTTCATTTAATTTACTTGATTACTTTTTCCATATTCATAGGACGTGAGGCTGTTCTGTACAGACTAAAAAGCCTCTCTGTAGAAAACTTGTGGTGTCAAGTTTTATAAACAAAATCGCCACTTTGTGAACAATTGTGAGTCGAACTGATAACCAGGACTGAGGTTTACAGCTTCCATATGTTAAATGTTGTGTGGTTTACTTTTATTTAAATCAGACAGAGCTGGACCGTGTGGAAGATGTGAGGCCAGCCAGCCACTGCTCTGCACTCCTATGTGCCAGAGGCAACGACAGCCAAGAGGAAGCCTTTGATCCATGCGGAGGCTGTTGCTCTGTCTAATGATACCTGGCAAATCCACCACGAAGGTGAGAGCCAGCCCAGTTCTCGATTCACAGTCCCTGCAGAACTTCCCCAGTCGATTCTCCCTCTGCTCGTCTCACTTTCCCCAAACAAGAGTTGCAGTGTTTACCTCGGGCGATGCTGCAACTCAGCTGCCTCCATTTATTGGTCACAGGTGGATTATAGAATAAACAACAACCAGATGGATGGTGGCAATCCAGACTGTAAGAATTCACAGGTGTGGTGTTGTGCTGACAGCGCTGTCTTCGGAGTCACGCTTTTAGTACGTCGTTGCTTTCGTTTGCCTGTTCTTTCTCTTTTCTGTTCAGGGTTAAATTCTGTGTATACAGGGCAGGTCTGCGGTGACATGTCTAGTCGGTGTCTCTCTAATGGAGTCTGGGAGAAGGGAAATCATCATTTGTACCAGTAACGATCATTTGCATTTATATTACTGAATCGCCTCTTGAAGAGGTGCTTTGCATTGATGATGCTAACTCCTATCATTCGCAGATCCAATGCACCTGATGACTCACAGCAGCCCTCCAATGACTGTGAGCACTGACACTTCAATCCAGCAGTGCAGAATCAGTAATGCTTATCATGGTGGTTTCATTATCAGCATGTCTTATCAGTCTCACTCTAACAGGAGACTCTTTATTTGTCAGGGAATAAACAATAGGGAAAAAAAAACACCTAGTCAGGTACAATGATTGTTAAACAAGGTGCTTTTTTAAGCTAAACAAGTATGTCAGGAAGTTAGAAACCACTGAATCATTGCTTACATGTATTAGGGAATCATAAAACATTTACAGAGAAGCTCAAGGGCTTTTTGTTCAGCCTCTGAGGGAGGCCGGTTGTTCCGGTCAATAAGTCCTGCTCCACTGGCAGCAGTATAATGTGATTATTTACTATCTTCATTTAGCAGTGTGGAGAGAAAGTCAATGGGCATTAGTGGACACAGGTTATTAACGCAGACTCATGGATTAGCGCACACTACATAGGAGCAAGTGCCTGTTTTAGTGATTGAAATGAAGGCGGTCTCATTAAATAGCTATTCAAACTCGTAGCATATCCACTATGTACACAAGTTCCAAATGGCAAACGCAATTGCAAAGTAACACGGCATATCCTGCTCGTTTAATGGGGACAGTTATGGCACAATATATCTCGCTGGAGTAAAGGATATTAAATATCCCACTTCACTTCAGCGGACTCGTGAACATTGCTAAACACGGATAATGGAGCAATTCCATGCAACGCAGGCGATCTCACAGTGACGTGTCACAATTTAACAATTCGCTCATTTAAAGTCAGATGTAATGATGCTTAAGGGTCGAGTTCACATGAGACAAGTGAACACTGCAAAACATTTACTCTGACACTTAAAGTGTAAACAGTTACAAAAACAAAAAAAGTATGATGGTTAAAACTTTTTGGACTTACTCGGCAGTTTCCAAGCTCCTCCGCAGACAAGATAACAGTTCCACATTTCTTCCCGGGTATACCACTGTGAAAACAAACACATATCCTTCTCTCATCCAAGTAAAACTTTCACAGCGATCCATTTTGACCATTTTTTTAGATGTTAGCAGGTGAACAATTAGAGGCATTGTGTTGCATTTTGTTATACTAATCCATGATGCCAGTAAACAGCAAGAATTGTCAGTAGTTCTAGCATCCTCTTTTGTAAATTCCACTGAATCCGGTTATCTTTGGGAAAGGGGCTGAAACATCTAAGTGGAGCTGAAACGCTTTCTTGTGTCTTTCTATTCTACAAGTTTGATTTCACACCTTCTGAGCGATAGAAGAGGAAAGACCACAGATAAGATTCATGGATGTAGCGAAGGAGGACACGCACAGGGCTGGAGTGGCAGAACAGGACACTAGGGATAGGGTGAGATAGAGGCAGAAGATTTCCTGTGGCAACCCCTAAAGGAACCAGCCATATAAAGAAGAATAACCTTTTTGAGAGACGGAAGTATCAATAATTAGAAATATTTATGTTTCTAAGATTCTTCTTTGTTTGAATTGTACAATAAGGCTTCATTTCTGGCTTATTTTCACATCCAATTGTATTTTAAATTCAGTAGTATATAGAATTGCAATGTTAATTTAGTATGACAGTGTGACAGCTCTAATGAGCACATTATTCCTTTTTCTCCACCTTAAGTGAATCAAAAACAAGTTATAAATATAGGCTCCCAAGTTTTCAGAGCAGTGTGATATCAGACTGCTGAGAAGCCGAGCTCTTCCGATTCCCGATTGCCTGCACCATATTGAGACTTTAAAGCTGCAGTTGTTTACCACTGATTCACGCTCCAGCAGATGATCAAGACATATCGCAGCACAAGAGGCGCTTTCTGCATGTCTGTGTTTCCATACATCACCTCTTCACTAAGCTGCCAATCCAGTGGCTGATTCTAACAAAAATAGAGACAGCGCTGCATCACAGTTTGTCCTAAATGTTATTTGGCTGTATTTTTTGAAGCGGAACAAAATGACTTTTTTTCCCCTGATATCCAATCTAACCAGCTCTCAGCATCCACTGAAGCTGTGAGAAGAAGGCAGAATCCATTCGACCCAACACGGAGCAATACACCATATCTGTTTTCCAATCATACAATAGCATTCCAGCTGCTACAGCTCCCATCATCCTTCTGGATAAAAAAGGAAATTACACGAGTGTCCTGCTGTGGCCTTAGCTGGAGACCAGTCATTAGAAGGTCAGACTTGCTGTGACAGACTTGTTCATCAAGCTGTGATAGCTGATCTGAATATCAGTACTACTACATACATACTGCTAAGCAAGAGGCAGCCTTTGACTATAATGGCAAAAGTTCCTTTATTCATAACATCAATCTCAAGCACGAACCTAAGTGAACTTTCAGAACTGGATTATATCAGAGAACCCGGGCCCGCCTGCACATGAGATTTCTGTAATGTTTTTAGGACGTATGGTACGAGGTGTTTTCCATTCATCTCAATCAGGTTTGCCAGGACTGCATCACAAGAAGTAAAGCTCTATAAAACCAGTTGTCATGCTGTAGAGGAATAGTTCTCCAGGCTTCTCTTGTGCTTGAAGGACATCTAGCCACTCTTCCATTAAGAATATTTCAGACTAGAAATGTTCCTCTCAGGTCTTTGCCAGATTTTTCTTATTTCCTAAGAATATGATTTGCTGTTTATCTGAGGTACAGATAAGGACACTGCAAAGTAGAGATATGCAAAGTTTTCAGCTAATGGTTCTTTGGGAATCACCTTTCAGCTAAAGAAAGGAACAACGTCTGTGTTGTTGCAAAAGCCTGTTAGTAACAAAGTGTCTAAAGATGAGATTTTAAATTGTCTGTTTGCCAATTTGTCTAAGATGTAAAGACAACACTGGTTCATCCCTTGAGTTAGGCGCCTTTGTCATGCTTGAAATATTCATAGGTCAAAAAAGTGCTCAGATACAAGCAATAGACTGAAAATGAGTGAAAAAGCAGCCAATGCTCAAAGAACAACTTTGAAAGACCTTGAGCAAGCCTGGACAACTATTGCTCATGACCGCTTTACAAATTCTTTACATTTAAAAAAGTCCAGCTCCTGGGTACTAAAATATAAAGAAATGAGAGTCTGAGAGAGTTTTATACAGTACTGTACCTCAACACAAATCCACTTAGCACTGAATTGTGGCTGCTGCATCTGCTTTCATGAGGCAAAAGGAAAAACTGAACTCTCACGGAGCAGGTCTGCTTAGTTTTCGGGCTTTATCTTGGAGGTCCACAGAGACCCGTCTCAGGGTGAATTAACTGTCCTTGAATTATTGATGCTTTACTCCAAGTCACCACCGTGCAGTTTGATGGTGCCTTGAAAAGCGAGTAAAGCTCTAACCAATGATGCCAGTAAACCCTGCACGCTCCACAGGTCACATTATCTCCCTGAGGTCACAATAATGTTAGATATTCCTATTAAACCAGGAAATGAGATCCAGCAATTGGTAAAGTATCAGCTCCAGGCACGTTTAGATGCACCACCCTGCTCTAATCTCTGCGGCAGAGAAGAGAGCAGGTACCAAAAGGGCAATGGTCTTTTAAATCAGGTATGCATTATTGAGTTTGCAATTTCCCCTGACAATGACTAGTTAACATGAAGAGCAAGCAAGCAAGCAAGCACTGAATGGATAAATACAGTTCCTACTAATTATCGATCAAACGTGACTTTGGGGGTTTTTTCTCTAAATTTTTCTGCTCCGTGCTGCGATGTGACTGCAGGTGATACAAAGTGTCCTGCATCAGGAGGCTTCATTCTCACAGCACTCATATACTGATGGTTTTTCAGTGGGGAAAATGCTTTGATGATGAAATTATGTGAAATTGTTGGCTGTGGTCCTTCTTTCCTGTAAATCTGCAATGAACACAGTCTACATTCTGTCAGCTGTGGGGAACCAACAGGATTTAATCAAGGTGGTCGTGTAAGTGCAAAACACATTTGTAACATTTTTAAACGAGTCCGGTAAAACAAGATGAAGCTATTTTGTGATGTTTCACAGCCTGGCAATCCCCAGCTTAGCACAGCAACAATTTGAGACCTTCACTGTTTCAAGTTACACCATCATGAATGTTCATGTCAATACACAGTATTGCCCTGAATATGTTTTTTTTCTAGCACACAGATGGCTCTGTTTTACAGTAATTCCTGGAGATTGTTCTAGATACATGGCAAAAGTCAAATAGTTGGCTTAGTAACCAAAACTGTAACAATGGGGAATGACGCAGAGAGAGAACTCTTTTAAAGAAGGAATAACAGCATTTACATTCTGAGTTACAGAAAGTCTTAATGTGGACAACTTGTTCAGAGAAGGCTGGCAGCCTGTTAATATAAAAGGCTGATTAATGCAATATGGTAATATTCCTGCAGCATAGCAATACAGGTGAGTGACTGCAATAACCGCATGCTAAGTATGTATGATGATCCTCTCCACCATTCTTAGTCCTCCATAATTCATCCAGTCACTTACAGGCTTCCCTTGGCACTCAGCAGACACAGTACCATAAGGGCCTGACCAACTAAATTCTAGTCCAGTGCAGAAACCTCAGCAGGACAAATTTTTAAAGTCAGATTAGCATCATGTCTGCTGTTCCTCCTTTTCAACAGAATCCCCCAGGATCAAACAAAACTTCATGAAGAAGAGAAACAAATAGAGAGAGAAATGAAATAGCGCCTTGTAGCACAGCAGCTTCCTTTACCCAGAAAGAAACAGAGGCAAGAAGTGCTGTCATGCTCTTAGCTCTGAAACAGAGGGTTAGCTACAGCTGCCTTGACAGAACCCCTGTTTGATCAACTGAATGGAGAGAGATCAAGCAGCATATTTCAACATTACTACAATTACTTGGCCAAAGTTTTTGATACTGCTGTTCTGCAGAATACCGATGAGAGTACTGGGTGTCTCTATTTGCCAGGGAACCATGTATGCGAACCATTTATTCCTCCAAAACGCAAGCATCAGAGATTATTAGGCATGACATATTATAATATGGATATTCAGGCTCAATGTATGGCCTCTATAATTTCCCATCTAGAGGCAGTTGCTGTCATGAAATAGTGATTCACAATCCCTGTATTCTCCATTACCTATCTGTGCGGAGGTCGGGTGGATGGAGGATGGTGAGATTAAAGTCCGAAGAGGGAGAAGGAAGCAATTGTTGATGCCGTTCACATTAGGTCATTAGGATGAGGGATGGTCTTGATATTTAACGACAGCGCAACGTGTCATGCATAAGAGAGTGAGAGAGGGTTATCTGCTCAACAACATGAGTGAGAGTCCTAGAAGAAGAAAGCGATTTTTTTTTCACACTGCAGTTTCTGCAGGGTGGGTCTGCATATATTTTTTTCCTGTGACGCATAGTGGCTGCACTGCTATCGTGCAAAGAAGTGTTATATTGCAATTTCACACCTAAATGGCAATTAATCACTTAAAACAAATTATTCAGTAAGGTTAGGTGCGAGCACAGCAAGAAAAAAAAGGATCGGTTTAACTGCAATTCACTGCGACTGTCCAGGTCAGTGAATTTAGTAAATCTGCCTGGATGACAAGGGGACTGATATAAATGAACAAATCTAACGAGTTCCAGTCGAGTCAAAGGCTAGCAGAGATGGGTGGAAGGCAGATAATCGGGCTTTGTGCCACTGTAACCATATGGGGCAGTGGGCATATCATAGCTGAACAGAATTAGCCATGGTTGCCAAAACTCTTTGTGGGTTTAAATGGGATTATACCACTAATCCCTCTGATCTTCATATACCGATAAGAATCCATAATCCTTCACCTTCCCAAGATTTTTTTAAGAGGATGAAAAGTGCAACGGCTTATTCAAAAGGGCACCAGAATACCCGCTGTATTTCTCAGACAGGAGCTCCTTCCTACAGGTATTGCAGGAGGAGATGCTGTTTGTGTTCAAGGCTGGTAGCCACAGGCTACCTGTGCTTAGCTTTTTGAGGCTCTGTCAGAATGAGCACAAAGCTGGTAAA